GGTATGGTATGGTATGGTATGGTATGGTATGGTATGGTGTGCTATGGTATAGTATGGTATGGTGTGCTATGCTATGCTATGCTATGCTATGGACGTGGATTAAGAAGAAGAGGGGTTAAACGTTACTGCCCACTATAAGTCTCCTTCCACACCCAATTTTACTGAGTCTTTTTCAAGTGTCCTTCGAGGAATTTTGTACCTCCAAGTGCATCTTAAGCGGGGACAACATAATGCTAACCAGCTGTTGGGATGTCCAAAGCCTACAATTTATACATTTTTTTTATTGCAGTTTCGTTGTATGTAGTATCGTTTGCGTGTGCTTTCCAATATCACATCTGTGTAGACGTATGTGGTTCTCCCCATGCTGGTTCGTAGCTTTTTTCTACAGGTGTATAGAACAGGTTTTTAAAAATGTAATTGCAATTTATGCAGTTGGTTAAGCATAGTAGAGAAAAACGAATTATGGATCTATTTAATTCTCTCTTGAATGAACGTTGTATCGTATCTTTACAAGCAAAGATATAACATGAAACGCCTCAGCAGCGACATGGTTAAGAAATATATTTTGTCGAAATTTAAATTCTAAATATTGAAAAAAAAAGCAAGAAAGATAAGTAATAATATGGTCACAATTATCTAAAATATTGAGCAGTTCTTTCCCTTCCAGGAACAGTTTGCTTTTTGGGCGTGGTAGACTATATTATGAACAGCTTATTGACTACATGTAGAATACTGACGATACCTGGAGCACGTCGTGAGGTGTCATCTCTGACTCCGAGGATGACGTGTAATGACACTCCAGCCTTCACGGTAGGGAGTTGCTGTTAAGTTACACATTCAGCTGTCCCCTGGCCAGTCCATATCTTATGTTGTCCATCCATGTCACCCACTGTCTTCCCCTGGCTCTCCTGCCCCCCCCCATCCTTTTCTTCAAGCACCTCTTTCACTTTGGTCTAGTGTCGTTTTCAAAAACGAAAGTATTGTATTTTTCTTCATATTATTTCTTTAAGCAGGGTTTGTCTTTTATGGAGAATCTGACACACCTCATTGTTCGTGGAGTTTTTTGTGTGTTTTATTTAATTTATTTACTTTTTTTGCTGACAGCATGTGCCTCAAAAGGAAAAGGTGGGTGGTTGACGGGAGCTCTCGGGTGGATTGCTCCTTCTTCACTATCAGACAAATATCGTCTTTATCTTTTCTCCTTCTTTTTATGTTTGTTACTCTTTTGTAACACCTATACTCTTCGGCATTTATATGACCTAATTGTGTAGCAAGTGCTGTGAAACGCTTACTAAAACAAAACAAAAGGAAATGAAAAACCTGGTAACCACAAGGGCCTGAGCTTGTACCCTAGATGGTAATGCTAGGTCCGTCTGTTTTCAACACCTATCAAATCATCAGTCATTCTTCTTTGTTCATTTGGCAAATAATTTAATCATCTGCCATTATGACACAGCAGTAATTATTGCGTATGATTTTTTCACTTTCAAGCTTCGCCTCCTGAAACCTCACAACTATCCAACTCTCTGTCCCGAGTCTCTTTAGCCTCGTTTACAAAATATCCAATTGATATATCTATCCAAATGTAAGTAAAACATAATAGATAACATATTTGGTGTGCGATTTTGCCATTTGCAACATGAGCAACATGCATTAGAGAACAGAAAACAGATTGTTAAAGTTTTTTTGCTATTAGCATGCACATTGATACAATCCCAGGGAAAAGTTCGCCATCTCTCCTCACTGGATTCCAAACTTCTCTGTAGCAACACGCTTCAGCTCTTTCCGGTCTGGTTTGCCTGTGCTGGTTGTTGGGTACTTGTCCATGATCTGGGGACGTTATAGATGTACCAGTGTATATTGAATCGTGAACACCCACCCGCACACCCATCCACACACACACACACACACACACACACACACACACACACACACACACACACACACACACACATACACACATACATACGAGCCCGTTTTTACAATTCCATTGCAATGTTAGTCCAAACAAGAAGCTCCTCTGATAACATATGTCTCTTAAGGACCAAAGATCCGTGAGAAACATTCATGGACAGAATAACCGGATCCTCATTGCACACCCACAAGACTTTTCGTTCTGGGACACGAGGTCGGTCTGTGAGCAGCCAATAACTAGATAACTGTTTATGAGCTCGAAAGAAAGTATATTGGAAGCATTTCTGGCTGCGATTGTGTGTGGAATGAAAGAAACAAACTCCAAAGTACGTTTGCACAGACAAAGCTATTTTACGATAGGATGTATCAATCGTGCTCTACGTTCTATATAGAGCATTATAAAATGTTGCAATGACGCACGCATCCACTTG